AAACCATGAATAAAAAGCCAAACCTCATGGAAATCGGATGAGTTTTGACCGAGTTATGGAGATGGGAAATTTCGACCCATGTCTACATACGAATCTCGGACTAAGATTTGGACATGAATTTCGACCAAAAAATGGGTGTTCAGATTTTAATGCCATATTAATCTAGAGGGAAAACCATGAATAAAAATCCAAACCTCGTGGAATTCGGATGAGATTTGACCGAGTTATGGGGATGGGAAATTTTGACCCATGCCAATATACGAATCTTGGGGTAAGATTTGGACATGAATTTCGACCAAAAAATGGGTGTTCAGGTTTTAATGCCAGATTATTTTAGAGGGAAAACCATGAATAAAAAGCCAAACCTCGTGGTAATTGGATGAGATTTGACCGAGTTATGGAATTGGGAAATTTTGACCCATGTCTACATACGAATCTCGGACTAAGATTTGGACATGAATTTCGACCAAAAAATGGGTGTTCAGATTTTAATGCCATATTAATCTAGAGGGAAAACCATGAATAAAAAGCCAAGCTTCGTGGAAATCGGATGAGATTTGACCGAGTTATGGGGATGGGAAATTTTGACCCATGCCCATATACGAATCTTGGGGTAAGATTTGGACATGAATTTCGACTAAAAAATGGGTGTTCAGGTTTTAATGCCAGATTATTTTAGAGGGAAAACCATGAATAAAAAGCCAAACCTCATGGAAATCGGATGAGTTTTGACCGAGTTATGGAGATGGGAAATTTCGACCCATGTCTACATACGAATCTCGGACTAAGATTTGGACATGAATTTCGACCAAAAAATGGGTGTTCAGATTTTAATGCCATATTAATCTAGAGGGAAAACCATGAATAAAAAGCCAAGCTTCGTGGAAATCGGATGAGATTTGACCGAGTTATGGGGATGGGAAATTTTGACCCATGCCCATATACGAATCTTGGGGTAAGATTTGGACATGAATTTCGACCAAAAAATGGGTGTTCAGGTTTTAATGCCAGATTATTTTAGAGGGAAAACCATGAATAAAAAGCCAAACCTCATGGAAATCGGATGAGTTTTGACCGAGTTATGGGGATGGGAAATTTTGACCCATGCCAATATACGAATCTTGGGGTAAGATTTGGACATGAATTTCGACCAAAAAATGGGTGTTCAGGTTTTAATGCCAGATTGTTTTAGAGGGAAAACTATGAATAAAAAGCCAAACCGTATAAGAATAGGTTGAGATTTAACCGAGTTATGGGTATGGGGAATTTTGACCCAAGCCTACAAAGGATATTTAATTCTCTCAAAGATGTTTATATAAATATGTACTCTTTTTTTTATAATATATGTCAAAAGACAGCATATATCTTAAAAATATATATTTTTGATCAATTTTAATTTGTATTAGTTAATAAATAATGCTACGAGTGGAAAGAGGGTTTTTATTTTTTGCGAGTTAATAAATACTTCAGCAAGTTTAAAGAGTTTTTCCATTTAATATAATATAATTCATCTAAATATATTAAATTTTTCTTATGGTCTTTGAACGCTTTTATCGCATTTTCCTGTTGATTTTCCGCCTGTGGCTTTGCCTTTTCGTCCACTCGAAATGTTAAATGGAAATTCATTGGATGGCATTTCCTTTCGGCCAGTTGTTGGGGCGCACTCATTTCCTGGTGTGTGTGGGGGGGGGGCTTTTGGCCTTTTGGCAGCGGACAATGTTCCCAATATTTGGCTTTAGAACTAAATTGGCTTTTGTGCTCGTCTCTTCCCATTGACCGTAACCTTGGGTATTTTATATGGAAATTGAATGCGGCTAAAATGGCGCTTAATTCGTTTTGGCCAAACAGCTTTATGGCCGAATTAAAAGTACTTTTGCCCATTAATTTGTATTTAAGAGAGAGAGAGAGAGAGAGAGAGAGAGAGTGAGAGATTTTCGCCTTATTTAATTAGACCCCATCGATATATCTTTCCATTTTTGCATGTCAAACTTAATTTGTTATTTATTTGGACGACAAGTTTTGTTGGTATTCGGTTCAAACCCAGCGCAAGCCAAAAATCGAACCAACAAACGGAACTACTTGTGGCATGATTGTTGGGGCACAACAACTTTCTGCCCCAACTCGTGTTATTTTAAGCGGAAATAACATTTGTAACCACGTTTATTCTCTTTATTAATTTCGATTTCAATTTAATTCCCCTTGAACTTTGTTCTAGAGGTTGAAGCCTTTAATCCTAGAGGTTTCTGCAGCAAATTCTTGGGTTCGTAGGTTCTTGAAATATTATTTTTAATACATTGTTGATATCGTGAATTGTATAAACTTTATATTGGAATATTCAACAAATAGAAATCCCTATTTTTTGCGAATTATTACAAGGAAAAGTTCCCAATTTCATATTGGGATATTCAAAAAGAAAAAGTTCCCAAATTCCCAGCGAATGGGCAAATCCTAAACTAAAAACTGCGATAACTCGGGAACTATTTAAACGATTTTCATGCTTGATGCCGTTTTTTAAAGAAGATGTAATAGAATATTAAAAAAATAAAACTTTTTGCATTTTATATAATTTTTTTTTTAAATTAGGCCATATATTATGATATTGCAATTTCCTTTTCAAAGAATTTTCAAGGAAAAGTTCCCAAGTTCGGGAACTATTTAAGCGATTTTCATGCTCGATGCCATTTTTAAATAGTTATGTCTTTAATATCAATAAAAAATGAAACTTTGTGTATTTGTTTGAAAAATGAAAAAAAATTTTTGAAACATTTTCCTTTGGTACCAGTTAAGGAAGGGTGTCAAAAGACATTTATATATTTTAGCTTTATATAATATAAATTTGCAATACTCCCTTTTGACTGAGAGTAGTTATGAGGTATATTTACAGGGTGGTGAGGGTGGTGGGAAGGGGCGGGTTCGCTGCCATAGAACGACCTTGACAGCGAACAACTTATTATCGGATGTGTAAACAAACCGATTGCAGAAGGAAAAGTTGATTATGGGCTTGCTAGCACTCGTCGCTGGTGAAAAGTGACGAGAAATGAAAATCAATAAAATGCAGCAGACGGGCCAAAATGTGAAATGTGAAATGGAAAATGAGCAAATGGGCAAATGGGCAACTGGGAGAATGTCAAATGGCGCTAAAAGCGTTCAAACTGAGTGAAAACGCCAGTTGAACGTGAAAGTTGCCGTTTTGGCCTGTTAAGATCGCGCCAAGGGGCTGAAGGGAGCGAGGGGGAAGGGGGAGCGAGGGGGGGGGGGGGGACTGCTGGAAAAATCGGGAAACGCCTTTCATTCATTAGCGCCTCAGGGGTTACGTGGGCGTTCGCCTCGGCTGCAAATAATAAAAAAAAGCAATAAAACAAAAAAAAACGCCGCGAAACTTTAAGCTGAGCCAAAGGAAATGAAATCTACTTTGTACACACATTGATTCAGTTTTTAAGGTGAGAGTTTACTTTGCTGTAAAAATATTGGAAAATATATAAATATGTATATAAATGTGTCTGTCTAGCTAAGGGCAAAGCCTATTCAAAGTGTACTACGCTCACTAACATACTTCACATTCTGTGATTCCATTAGCAAGTGTCATTTGGCTTTTTACTTTCATATATTTCATAGCCCTGATACACAAATAACTCGGGGTAAATATCAACATTTTGTGGAAATGTGAAAAATGTGGTTGCTTTTGGAAAAACATTCGCAACAAATGTAAGAAATGTTGACAGTGGAACAAGGCTATTCCTTAATATACATTTTACATACATCTATTGGGGGATCTAAAGATAAAATGTAGTTTACATTTTACTCAGAAAATGTTTAATCGAAATGTTTTTATTAGTTCAGACCTAAATGTGATAAATGTGTTATATATTTTAGTTCAAATAAATCTACAGAAATTTCTATAATTTTTTATGAAATTTTTCGCTAAATCACGAATCGTTGGCTTGAATATAATTCAGTTTCTCCATATTTAATACACAAGAAGCCTTTTCATACTATTCCAACTTTTGCCCCCAAACAATCTACTTACTGGAATTTCCAGAAATAATACCCTGTAAACTAAATGGCTTCGACACGTGAAACTTTAGTATAAAAGCTAATTGAAACTATTTCGAAATACACTTTTAACTGCGCTCAGAATTTGATACCGATAGCTTTTGAGACCGAAATCGAGCGACTTTACGCTCATTAGCTGCATTTTGCAGTCTGTATTGCGAAAAGCCACAAGTGTGCGAAAAGTTAATAAGCGCAACGGCGACAGTCCCAAGGCAGGTGGCAGGTGGCATCAGGTGTTATCGAGGTGGTGCAGAATGTGCGTGACCAAATGCACTTGTTCCCAAAATTGGAGCTGGACAATGGAAGCAGGCGAAGCGTCATAATGCATTATGTATATTCGCACCTAATTACGAGAGGACAGAGACTCGGGACTCGAGACTGTTTGTTAATTCATTAAGCATATTAGTTTTGTCTAGCAGCAGGCGGCTTCTTTGGGCATTTATGCGAATTTAAGTGGACATTCGTGTGGTCGGGCAGTTAGGAGGCGAGCTATTGATTAACTCAAACCACAATCAATGCAGCGTTTCCTTCATTTAAAGTGATTCAGAGCACAGTTCATTGTCCTTCTGCCTTCCTCTAAATATAAATATATATATATATATGTTACAAATGGGAACAATCGTAAGTTTTCTTCAGAAAGCTGCTTCAAGTTTCGTAGAATCAGAGTTTGCCAGCCTCGAATTTTAATTGCTTGATTTTCTATATTCATAATTTAAATGGGAGAAGGAACTTGAGGTTGTTCGATGCGATGCGATGCATGGCGATAAGATACGCAAACACTTCAAAAGGATCTGACCGCACACACAGCATCCCGACATATGATTGACAACGAAAACCACTAACTAATTGAAAAGTTTTGCGATAAGGCCAGGACAGAGGCACAGAGGCGCTGACATATAAAAGTGTGTGCCACACTCTAGCCCAATTCAAATCGCAACACACTCAAGATGAGAGCACATTACGGTACCTATTCTTGGAAAATTCTTGTCGACACAAGCTAACCTTTAGAGTACTCTCTCTGCAGTCCTGTTGGCCTCCTTGTCCCTGCTGATTGTCGCCACCGGAGCCGCCAATATTAGATCAACGGCTGGCAAGGACCTCTATCGTCGCGTTGTCTGCACCAATAAGCCGAATGGCTTCCGTGCCCTGCAGCCCGGCAGCTGCTCGGTGTACTACGAGTGCGTTGGTGGTGTCGCTGTGCAGAAAGCCTGTGCCCGTTTCTTTGACTCCAAGAGCCAGCAATGTGTCAACTACAATACGGGCTGTACCGAGGTGTTGCAGTTGACGGACACGAAAGCTATTGGCGGCAGTGCGGTGACAGCAGCACCTTGCGACACCACCACACCGCCGTGTGAAGAAACAACAACCACAAGTTGTACTCCGCCAACTACCACGACGTGCAGCACCACCACAGCTTCAACAACCACTTGCACGACACCAACAACAACCACAAGCACCACGACTACTACTAAAACAACTACAACAACAACCACAACAACAACCACCACTACAAAGACAACTACTACTACAACAACTACTTGCACCACACCAACAACAACCACTTGCACCACAACAACAAGCACTACAACAACAACAACTACTACTACAACAACCACCACAACTACAACCACCACAACTACAACCACCACAACTACAACAACCACCACAACAACAACAACTACTACTACAACAACCACCTGCACCACACCCACAACAACTACTTGCACTACAACAACAACCACCACAACAACAACCACTACTACAACAACCACGACTACTACTAAAACAACAACAACAACCACTACTACAACAACAACAACCACTTGCACCACACCCACAACAACCACTAGCACCACAACTACTACCAAAACAACTACAACAACAACCACAACTACTACTACAACAACCACTTGTACCACACCAACAACAACCACCACTACAACAACAACCACCACATCAACAACAACAACCACTACTACAAAAACCACTACAACAACAACAACCACTTGCACCACACCCACAACAACCACTAGCACCACAACTACAACAACCACCACATCAACAACAACAACCACAACAACAACCACTACTACAAAAACCACTACAACAACAACAACCACTTGCACCACACCCACAACAACCACTAGCACCACAACTACTACCAAAACAACTACAACAACAACCACAACTACTACTACAACAACCACTTGTACCACACCAACAACCACTACTACAACAACTACTACTTCAACAACCACCACTACAACAACAACCACCACATCAACAACAACAACCACTACTACAAAAACCACTACAACAACAACAACCACTTGCACCACACCCACAACTACCACTAGCACCACAACCACTACCAAAACAACTACAACAACAACCACAACAACAACAACCACTTGCACGACATCAACAACAACCACTACAACAACAACGACTACTACAACAACAACAACTACCACAACAACAACCACAACAACAACAACCACAACAACAACCACTACTAAAACAACAACTACTACTACTAAGCCAACAACAACCACAACAACGACTTGCACGACACCAACAACAACCACTTGCACCACACCGAAAACAACACCATGCACAACTCCACCAACAACCCCAAGCACCACCCCTGAAATCACAACTTGCACAACACTGACAACTACCGCATGTGCAAAGTGAAATACTAAGGTGCCTTAAACACATTCAAAGTATTGGATCTTTCGCTTCTCAGTAAAGCTCTTAAAATACAGTGCAAAATATTGTATTCAAATTTTGAAGTCTTGATTTTATATAGAATAATGGATCACTTCAAATTGGCATCAAATTGGGTATTTGAGCTTTAATCTCAACTCAAACTCAAAACAATATCAAAGGGGGCGAGTTCTCGAAAAAACATGAGATAATTAGCCAAAATGACAAGCCGAAAGCAGGACAAGGGGCAGCAGCCAGTCTGATGAACGTCATACATTTTCGGCATAAATAATTAATGGGTAATTTTTCGCCAGCCAGAGTATAATACGTATACGTTGGGAATTTCTTTATGGAGGCGTTTATGGGATGCCGCCCACAAAGGCAACGCCCCCGCACTTCGTAACGCATGTCAGTTGTGACTGGAAGTTGGCAATAATTTCTTGGCTGCCAGCGATAAAACTGTCGAGAGAGAGAGAGAAACTTTCTCAAATTTTGGCAAATATTTTTAATCATTTTTGTTATTGTCAAGACTTCCGGCTGTTGTCGGAAATGTTTGTCAAAGTCTGTGCGACCAAATGGAAATATCTTGTTCGATTGTTAATTATTAAAGCAATTGCTGCTTGCGAGTATTTTAAGAATAATTTATTGAAAGCTTGAGCTTATGTACAACAGATTCTGAGTCGGTATATTGATATATTTTGTAGATCTGATCTATAGAGAGCTGCAGGCGTACTTCATTTGGTAAATGTAAATAATTCAATTAAGCGCCTCTCTTTGCGCTTCTCATTTCTCAATACGTTTCTTCGCTTCACACAATTGTTCCTTGAAATCAAACAAATGTATGTAGCAGTATATCCCATATCTCCTATAGGCAATATATCGATGTATATGTGTGCAAGAATATTATTTCAATTAGACGCCTCTCTATGCGCTTCTCATTTCGGTGACTTCCCATTGTTGTCGTTGCTTCTCCCTCAGCTCAAGATCATATTATGCAGTTTGTTTGGATTAAGATCATGAAATATATGTGTAGCATTAGCGAAACTTGAGCTTATGTATCAGAATATAGACATATATTTGACATCTATATAAAAATATATAGAGCTGCAATCGTATTTCAACAATTCGCCTCTCTTTGCGCTTCTCATTTCTTTGATGCGCTCCTTTTGCGCTCTCTCTCCCCCTCTCTCTCCCTCTCTCTCTCTCTCTCTGTCTCCCCCTCTCTCTCCCTTTCTCTCTCACACAGCTAGAGATCATTATACTGCTTGTCTGAACATATGCACACACTCACAAATGCTGCATATCTGTGTGTGTGCGTGCGTGTGTATGCAATACATATATAGTTGAAGCCGGTTTTTTCTTTGTCTGCCATTTGAAGCTATTTTGCCGGTTTTATTATGGTCTCTGTTTGTTGTTATTGTTTGTTCGAGTCTTTTATATTGTTGCCGTTTATTAGTCATCCGCTTGGAGCCGCGCACTCATGAGTGCGCAAACCTAACCTCACCCAACAGCCAAACCCCCCGCTCCCCCTCCCCTCCCCCATACAGTTTGCCAACCATTTATACAAAAACTCCATGCAAAAAAGTGTTTGCCTCTCGCTCGCACAGCACGCAGCCTTTGTTTGGCTGTTTTCCGTATGTGTGTGTGTGTGTGTGGATTGTGACGACTCAGCTGACGCTGACGCCGGCAGCGCCGCGCAGCTGTGCGAGCTAAGCCGCAACAGCTGTTTTGTTGTTGTTGTTGTTGTTGTCGGTTTTTGGCCGTTGCCGGCGCTGGCTGACAACGCCCACATGGCATCCACACACACGCACACACACACACGCACGCACGCACACAGACACAAATTGGAGACTTAATCAGCATTTGTGGGCGGACTGCAGCAAATGTAATTTAAGCTGCGTTGCATAGCAGCCAGCTTTTGACTGTGACGAATGCCTTGGAGTTTTACGTTTAATTGAATTTCGTTTTTTTTCTTTTGAGTTTTTTTGTGCTCAACTAATTAATTAATTGCTAATTGAAATGCAACTGCGACGGCGCCTTGACGCTCCATTAATTTCGCATTAATTTTGCTCACGCGCCAAAATCAACAATTCATTTATATTTACTTTGCCTAATGATAATTGTTGTTGTTGTTGTTGTTGTGCCAAATTGATACAGGCAGATGCATTTGTCACGCCCACACACACACACACACACACACACACACACACACACACACACACACACACACACACACACACACACACACACACACACAAATTTTGTTGAACGTCAAGCGCCGCGGAAAATCAAGAAGACGAAGAAGAAGAAGCGACTGACAACAACAACAAATACAAATTAAACAAAAAACAATAACAAAAAAATGTAAATTAAGCGAAATTTTTGCATGCAGCGATCTTTGCTTTATACGCTTGGCATATGCCCTACAAATGCTGCCGAGGGGTATATTGATTATGCGGAAGCATAGCATAAACTAAATTTATCGATAAATGCGGCTATCGAGTTTAATGTATCGCACGTAAATAGTCAGGTAATTGTTATCGATGAAAAAGCTGTGCATATCAATCCATCAATTGTTTTCGATAGTTATCGATAACAATACAAGTGCATATCGATTAGTTCAAAGCTTTTCTAGTTAATCAAACTAGTCTTTCTAGGCAGGAATTTTGTATACACTTCTGTCCAATCTAGGTTCTCTAAACATATCCCTCCGATCAGATTAGCATATAGTTTTATTGAATACAAATCGATAGTTATCGAGCATTAATAGTCATTGATAGTTTAAAGTAATAGATACCAGCATTTTCGCAAGTTGATAATAAGAAGCATTTCGATAAATATCGATAACTATCGATTGCGAATATTATAAACAGCAAAATCGATCATTATCGATTAAAAATTGAACAGTTATCGATTGTCAACAGCATTACAAGAATTATCGATAGTTATCGATTGCAAATATAATAACCAGAAAAATCGATAACTATCGATTGTTTGTCTAGGCAAGGCCTTCCACATTCGTCTAGCTAATACTTGCTCTCCACATACATATCCCTTCGAACAGATCAGATTATAGTTGTGTTTAAAATTAATCGATAACTATCGATTGTTTGTCTAGACAAGGTATTCCACATTCGTCTAGTTTATCAAATTCTCCGCTATGCACAGCCTTCCCTTCCCACTTTTTGTTTTGATCGTATATTTCATTTGACATTGCCAAAAACGCGAATGCGCTGCTCTTGGCCAACGCCAGGGGGCGCTGCAGCGGCTTCCGCACAGGGTGACTCGCGCCAAAGTCAATTTGCAAGCGATGCAATTCGCAATAAATCAAATCGGTAACCAGATGAAAATGAGGAGGAAAGAGCGAAAACTAGAAAACATAGAGAATGCAATTTGTGATCACAAGTTTTTCTCGAATGGGGGGGGGCGGGGGCGGGGCGGGTAACGGAGGTACGAATCCGCAAGATCGTAAAACGATTTTGTAGAATGTTTTCATATATGGAAAATGATTTATTCTCATAGCCCCAACTAGCATCTAGTTTTTCCTTAATTGTGGCAACAATTTCACATTTTATGTTTTATTTTTATTGTTTTTGCATTTATCGCAAATCTTTGCGGACTTTGTGTGGAATGATTTAACCAGAATTGCGACTAACAAATCGTTTGTCACCTTATTTAGTTGAGTTCCCAAAGTTTTTTGGGCTTTTTGCCGTTTAAACAAGTGCAGGCCCCATCGATTATGCCCTGTCTTAGCTGGAATGCCCACTGTGCGACATTCGGGCCCAACTATGCAGACATAGACTATATAAGGTTTTCTTTTGTCGAGTGTACTTGAAATTCTGAAGGCCTTCTGGCAATGCACGCTTGATAACATAAGACAACTACGACTGTCTAGCCAGATCATGACTGAACGAATACCCTGTAGATATGTCTAGATACGTATCTTCTTCCTTGAGAGAAAAGTTGTAGAGATTGGGTCGCAAATTTATACAAATTTGTCTTTATTGAAATATATATGTTTGATGCGTTGAATTTGGCATCGATAAATAGTTTCAAAGTTCGATAAACAAAATGTAAAAGTTATACGAATGATTAAATAGATAACATTTGCTAAATATCATATGCTGTTTATCAAAATTTGAATCGATTTGTACGTTTTTCTTGCTAGTTTTAAGCGTTCCACGAGCCTATCGATAACATATATCGATTTCGTTGTCGATATATCAAGCATGTGTATAAGGTAAAATGAAATGTAAAGCGACTTATACATGTTTCTAGCAAGTTTTAAAAGTTTGGATAATTTATCGATACCATATATCGATTTTACTGTCAATATATCGACCAATAGATCAAAATTAATCGAACTATCGACTTGTTGATCGATAAATCATATAGCATATCGATTTGTACACCGATTGTTCCACTTTTGTGTATAATTTACTGTGACTTTATCTTTGATAAACTATCTGAAGAAATCAAAATTTCTCTCATCAAAAATAAAATCGATCAATGCTTAATCAAAAATCGATATATCGATATATCGATGCACAATTAGCGTTGCATTGCTTTCAAATTTCTTACAGTTAATACAAATACAAACGCATGCACTTAATGCAACTACCCTATGGATGCACATCCCTCTTTGCTAGGGTATATTACGGCATATGCACGAAGAATTGAAGAACTTTGTCGTCGTACGTTGAACACTTGGCGCCAGGGCGCTTAAATTGCCGTGACGATAACACGGGGCGTGGGTGTCCACACACACACACACACACACACACACACACACACACACACACACACACAGACATGGCATGCCTAGGTACAGCCACACACACACACACACACAGTAGCAGCTGCCTTTACTGTCTCTCTCTCTCTCTCTGTCTGTCTCGCTTGGCTTTTGCGACTGTTTTGTTTTGCATTTTGTTGTTGTTGTTGTTGTTGTTGTTGTTGTTGTTATTTGATTTGTTGTTGTTAATTTG